CGAAAGTGGGTCGGGTCGCCGATGGGCGAGGACGATGATGAACGAGAGGGTCAGGGCGGCGCGCAAGAGGAAGAACGGGTGGGTGAAGTAATGCGATTCTCGCGTGAGAATCAAGCGAGGGTGCCAAGGACGCGCGCTGGAAGATCGTGACGGAGAGGAGGAAGGAGACCTCAAGAAGGTGTCCCCTGTTCTTGGTCTTGGTCTCCCGAGGACGAGAGTTTCGAGACGTCCCTGCTGCCACCCTGCCCCCTTGCGGGTCGGCGATTTGTCAGGCGGACGAATACACGACGAGAGATAACGGCGAAGTTTCGCAGACGCTCTGGACTCTCTCGCGGTTGACAAATGCGCGACCGTCGTCGGTGCGCTTTCGGGAAACGACGCGTTTTGTATGCGTATAAATGGCGATGGCGACACACACGGGGGGACTCGAGCGTATATGATAACCGCCATCGAGGAATGGGATGATCCGGGATGCCCGCGTTCTCGCTACATAGTCTCGGAGAAGCTTGATGAATGAGCCTACCCCCCCAAATATACAACGCATTTTTATCGCGAAGGCTATATCTTTTTAATTAAAAAATCTATTTTCGGTTAAAGCGGATCTTAGAGATTAAGTATTTCAGAGAGTGAATTTATACACATATAATTCTGCAGACCGAGCACCGAAATCTTGATAACTTTTTAGTGAAACCACAAATATTCGAGGTGTCCTGTAAAATAAATGGCACTTTTAATGACTGTTTACGTTTAACGACAATTTATCACGATATAAATAGCCGGCGCAATCAAAAGATTTACAAATTCGTAATGTTATTTTGCGTATGTATAATATTACGTAAATAACGAAAGATATACAAATGCAAATTTATGATATCGTTTTAAACGAATAGGATTTGCGATGTTCTTATGTGTACATGAATTTTATAATTATCATGATTTATATATAAGGCGGATGAATTATTGAAACGGAAAAGCACACATATTACGTGCATCGTGAAATAACATCCGTAATAATACCCATAATGCGCGACAGTACATTGTGAAACGATATATACATCGCGATGACCAGCGAAAATATTTATGGTTAAAGAGCGTATTTTAATAAATGGCTACGTCAATTAGCGCAACGTTCCGGTTTAATGAATGTGTTTCTGTAATTACGCGAGTAATACGTATTATTGATATGAGGCGAACATTTTGTGCGAGATACGTGGGTAACAAATTGAAGAATCGAAAGGCAAGAGCGTGTTGAAAAACATGATACGGGATTAATATCCTCAAACTCATGAATAAAAGGGAAATACTGGCGCATATTATACCGATAGCCGGGCCGGTTGCGTCTGTGCGGGTATTTACAAACCTATCGCTCCCGGCATCGATTGTTTGCGAATGCGGGTGCGGCTCGTGTTTGCGAGGTTCTAACGGTAATCAAATAATTCGCTAATTATTCACGGAAAATTATCGCGCGGAAAGATGCGGTGCGGGATAATATCTTAAAATGCAAGTGTCGCTATCCTTTTCTCTCGCGAATAAGAGAAATGGCAAACGCGACGGTGACTCGTCGAGGCGACGAGGGCTGTCCCGCTGATTACGACGATGACAAACGACAGCGCGTGGGAATTACGAAATGAAGGTTTAATAAGGTATGAGCCGGATCGGGACTCGCCGACCACCGTCGCCGCCGCCGCTGCTACCGCTGGCCACGTTCCCTGCAGTAATTAACAAATCCAATTTTAATCGACGGTTCAATTCACGCTGCGCGTCCTCCCGGCCGGAAACGCACTCGCGAGCACCACGTCGTTTCGTACATGCAATCGTCATATCAGCGCGTAAAACTGATTAGCGGTTCCCCTCGCGACGCAATTATCTCGCGCTGCGCCGGACGGAGCTCGTTCTCATTTTGTCGCTCGTAGTAAACGAAATAAGCGCGCAAACAAAATAAATTCCTTTGTCCGCAATCTACGCTTTTAGTTTGGTGCACCGGAAACTCGACTGATGATAATTAAAGCCTTCTATCGATTAGACTGTTTGCGTACTTCTAATTTGAAGTTTACATCAGTCATGATTATACGTACGAGTAATGTATTTCAAGGATATAAAAACTGTAATAAATTATGCGGAAAATTAAAATGATCAAAGGAAGAAGAATATGTTTGTTACGTTTGTTACATTTGTTTCGTAGAGCAATCTTGAAAATTAAATGCAATGAGTGCAGAAAGTATTCATATAGGGGAGATATCTTTAAAAACAATCTTATTTTTACAAAGTAAACATTAATTAGTTTATTAATTTATTAACAAATAATAAAATAGACTGTATATTTCTCAAAATTATTTTACCTACATATATAATAATAATTAAAATATGTTATTTTAAAAATAAACGAAAATTAAAAATTAAATTATTTGGACATATTAAACAGTATTTGTACAGTACGTCGAAAAATTTAGCTTCTAAGATCAAAAACACGCAAAATTCTTTTTTGTTTTTCTATTATTATATTTAAAAAGGCAGGGTATAAATATTTTATAAAATTGCTAATTAATATTTAATTTCTATATGTAAATAAGGTTTTTTTAATAAAATAAATTTTCTTTTATATGGATACTTTTTACACTTCAGAGCGGCACTTATAATTCGTTCTTATTTTAAAACCATCTTAAGTAATATCTGAAGATGTTAATACAGCCCTCCGACTTATGAGATCTTAACCCTTACTCTACAAGGGTACAATTTGGTGCCTCATCTGTACAAATGGGGGCACTAGAATCCGTCCGTTTTTTTCATCTATTCAGAATGATTTTAAAAATTTACCAACATATTTTGAATTTTCTAGAATAAATATTGGAACTTCATTTTGGAAAATAATAAAATGTAGTATAATTTATAATTATCGAAAGATTCAAAGAAACTTGCACGAACAGGAATCGCTCAGGTTACTAGTGACCCGTTTTGTAGGATAAGGGTTAAGACTGCACTTAAGAAAGTCTCAAATATAAGAATCAATTGTGAATACCGGCCATTGTATGTATTATCTCACAATTTAATGAAAAAGAAAAGGATACTTGCTTTCTTATTAATTAAAACATAACAGATACCTGTCGAGATACTGCAACACTCGTTTCTTGATCTCTATGAATGGGGAAAAGATGAAAAATTGTAATTCACCGAGGAGAAAACGATACACTGAAAAAAAAGATTGGTTGCTGCAGCAAATTAGATGGTAAAATATGGCGTAGCATTTTTAATTGGCTGTTGCAGCCAATTTTTGGTTGCAACAGCCAATTTTTGATTGCGTTAGTCTATCGGCAATGTCAGTATAGGATTTCGATAGGCTAACACAACCAAAAATTGGCAACCAATTAAAAATGCTATGACATATTTTACCATCTAATTTGCTGCAGCAGCCAATCTTTTTTTTTTCAGTGAGCAATTTAGTTCGTCTCACATTATTACGACATTCCAATAAAAATTTCGAGCAGTAACCTTTTTATCACCCACATTTCTCATCCCCGCGCGAAAGGAAAGTTTAGATATCGCGATTTCCACGACCTCCCCGAAATTCGCGATGCGAATTGGAACATCGTATCGCCCGCATCTAAATTTCCTGTGTGCGCACACATTGGCATTCTGTACTCTTGTGTACCATTCGAAAAGGGCTCAATCGAAAAATCGGTAGTAACGCTCGAAACGACGTAGGTAAAGCGCATTGCGCCGCACGATTGCTGAATTGTAAAACAAAGCACAGCATGCAACATGGCAGTGCAAGCATGCAGGTGTGAACGTTGATCGCGAATATTTCTGCGTTTTTTGTAGTTCGTTCGTGTATACGCGCAAGCGTGTATGTTAAGCTCGCGTTATATAAAACAATGTATAAAAACCTCGCCCACATATAATGCGCGAAAATGATTTAGTAATGGCTGCTTTTTATCTCCTTTTTCCTGCTTTAAATCCGAAAAATAATATAAAATTAAAATCCTATTTTCTTCTCTCAAATTCTATATATATTATATATACAATATTATAATAATAGATACATGGATTTATTATTTACATAACGATGGAATGTTTTTGAAGGAAATAAAAATGTATATTTTCTCTATTTTATAGTATATTTGTTTCTCAAATTCTATATATATTATATATACAATATTATAATAATAGATACATGGATTTATTATTTATATAACGATGGAATGTTTTTGAAGGAAATAAAAATTTATATTTTCTCTATTTTATAGTGTATTTGTTTATTTATATATTTTTAAGTATTAGAGTTTTTAAATATTAAACATAAGGCTATTTCCACACTAATGTGCAACCATAATGCACATCTCCGTATATACACAGTGACCGCTTTAATAGGGTACAAAGACGGATTAGCACACACGGTATTCTAGGCATCACGTGCATAACAGTAGCGTTAGTTGACGGACACGTCGATACATGATATATTTACGTTTATTGCAATGCGTTTATACGGGCGGAATTACAATCGGCACTCGTTTTAATGGATGTCGAGATTGCGCCGTGTGACACTGCGTTCGTAATTTTGCGTCGGTTCGGTAAATTATTAAATTCGATAGGGTTTAACTATTGTCAGAACGTGAGCTCAGCTCGGACACTAAGGTTACGTTATGCTCTATTAAGGTATGATCGATTATGGTTTGCGGCCACACATTGGCAACCGATCATGAACGGAACAGACTAGATCCGCCAACTGTAGTTAGATTGGATCAAATGTACAATCACGCCTTCTGCTTTTCAACAGAAATGGTATAAACGACATTCATTATTTTATCACGATAGCGACAAAAAGACAGAATTTTCAAATTAAATATCGAGAATTAAAATGAGAAGATTTCAAATATTCGATGTAGAAGACTGACATGAAAGAAAAGATAAATGTTTATAAAATCTTTGCAATATATTAACAATTTTTTAAAATGATTTAAAAATCAGTTTTTTTAATAAGAGTATCCACTAATTATATTTTATAGAGCGCCACGTCTCCTGGTGCCAGTAACGATGGCCTCACAAAACAACAGCTGGAGCTCATCCAGCAGATCATGCAGCAAACGCAACAGCAGACAACCACGCAACAGCAGCAGCAGCAGCAACGGACCGCGACTCCCTCGGCATCGGTAGCCACACAAATACAAAAGACACAAAAACCGTCCATCAAATCCACCGCGTCGTCCGGCAATATTTCCAACAATTCCGCAAGCGGAAATCCGACCAACAGTGCGAGATCGAGTCCGAAACCGAAGATGTGGAATCACTCGCATGTAAGTGTAACACAATCAAAAAATATACTAAATATTTTTTTATTTTACAATCACTTTTTCATCTGCTAAGTGTGATATTGAAAGTTGAACATCGAGCGTGCAATTGATTATTGAATATGGCGATAGAAATTGAAAATGAGAAATTGAAATTCAAAGAGATAGCAGCTATCCACAATCGTATACTTTTTTTATAGTAATAAAAAAAGGCACAGAATTAGAAATCAATACTACTAATTCATTTCAATAAACATGAAGAACAATCACATTTTATATATAAAGAAAATTTTATATTAACTTTCTCCTCATTTTTATGAGACATATAATTTAATGAAATTAAACTGTTTATTTTAAAAATCGAAATATATGTATATTGCGATGCGAAATAAAGAGTAATAAATAATAATAATAATAATAAATAATGTTTGAGTAACAAATAACTTTCAATAACTATTATTAGTATTAATCACAAATAATCGTTTCAATGATGTCAAATGAAGAAATTATCTTAATTACATCTCGATAGAAACAAATCTCGTTGAATATTATGATTATGATGTACTGGATCGCGTACATCCTGTATGATTTTATTACGTATTGCGTAACGAGATCCCGAGATAGCGCCGAAAGCAATAAACCCGTAGTACCTCGAGACTGCTTTCTGTTGAAAGGGCCCTTCTTCCGCATTAGGCAGCGGAAGTATTACCGAGCGCATCCAAGATCCCGTGCACATGGCTCGTTGGAACTCGCCGCGGTAATCTTTTGTGCGGCGAATACACCGCAAATCGCATTACGTATCACGACCAGGGCGGATACCATCCCGGTACTCGTAATCTCGTCGACGAGGACTCGTCGAATATTATACGGAAACGCGAAACAGCGAGATATCGCACGCGCGACCCTTTGTGTGGGATCCTGTTCATTTTCTCGTTGAGAAGTACGAAGTACAATCGGATGAAACGATAGGCAGATGCGATATCTTTCCGAGAATTTGCATATATACATGATTAAAAATAAAATATTAATTTTAACTTGAAGACGTACACCTGACTTTCTGAAACATGCAGTAAATGTTAAAATTAACACTTTTGTACAAAAAAAAACTCCACTGTACGTCTTTAAGTTAAAATAAACATTTTATCTTTAACAGTGTACGAATAATGTTATAAATCGTGATTATTATAAATTAAAAAGGTTAAAAATAATCATGATATGAGAAGAAAATATATTTTACTTTTGAATAGATATTGAAATAATTTTTATATCGATTTTATTAGAATTGGTAACATAATATTTCCGCGAAGGTATTTTCTCTACGATTTTTCTGCCGGATTGAATTGATCGCCTTGGTCTTTCACAGGGTAAATCCTACACGGCGTTAAAATAGTGGTCGAGCCGGTTTCACGAACGGGTCTTCAGGAGCCGTTCAGAACGAAACATTTGCCTGCACAGAGAATTAAATTCGTCATCGAGAGCCACGTAGCACGGCTTAATCCGTCCTGGTTGAATCACACGATGTTCCCTTGATAAAATTGCGCGAACGCTAATTGGTCTCGCTCACTTCCCTTTATATCCTTGTCCTTCCGGCCGTCCGAATCTTCGGCGATCAAAAGGATGACGTCGTGAAAGGAACCTTTGAGCAGATCCTTTCACGGTTCGACGCATCGAACGCTGCAGAATTTTCTTCTGACGTCGCTTCTTGTCGTCCGCCAGAGAAAGGCGCGTGATTAGCGTAGAGAATCGTAGCCGGAAGTCCAGTCGAATATCTCTTGCTTTTGACAAGTTGGGGAAACCCATTGTGTCTCGTTTAAAGCAAAAATGTTAAAAAATAGCTCTATTTCGTTGAATTTGTTAAATTATTTACATATGATTTTTTATTACGTTGTGTTATAACATCTGAAAAAGGTATTTTTTCTTTGACTTTTTTTTCATTAGTAATTTAATATCGTTATTAGATCTATGTGAGCGAAACAAATTTATAGTCTCTTATGAAGAGCGTTGATATGAAGAATATTAATTTTAATTGGCAACTCTCTACATGCATCGAATGTTGGCTCAAGGAACTTGTCTCTTCAGTGTACAAACATATCAACTGTATGTCCAACGCGTCAGCTGCATCGACCTGGTAATAGTGCGACTAAACGTCTCTAGCCTGTCTCTAAACCGTTTACTGACGTTTACTGAATCATGCATAAAAGACGATCACGTATGGGAGCGTTGTAGTTCGTTGAGAGTTTTAAACCTTTACATCCTGCGTGAAACGACTCGAATTATGCACGAGATTATTGTACAATTAAATGTACGTTTTTCGATGATAATAGATAGATAATTAAAATATCCTAATTATATTGACTAAATCATTACGGTTAATAACAAACAATAATCTTACTGGGGATTCATTTATTTATTAATGGATAGAAGCGCTAAATTTTGTTAACTTAGTTAATAATTACGTAGTAGCTGATAACTAGGGTAACTCCGGCAAATATATATACGCCGTGCTGGGATTTACGCCGCAAAAGTCAGAAAAAATAGAAGGAGAAAAATGATACAACTTAAAATATATCATTCTTCAAAAAAAAGATCTTACAGTTATAACGAAAATTATCTAAGTATCAAAAATAGCTGGAATAGATAAATTTCTAGCAACTACTGCGATATTAGATATATTTCCATATTTTTTTGCGTGAATTGTAGAAGATTATGATCTTTTTATGATCTTAAGATCAATGTAAGTTTAGCGAACGGACTGTAAAGTTAAATTAATTTACTATTGATAATTGATAAAGTAATCTCTACTTAACTTATTTATGATAATAACTCGAAAATCATATATTCTTAGTTGTGCTACTTTCGAAGTAAGGGAACGAGATGGTTTGTTATAACTTAGAATTATTACAGTAGCATCCCCAGCTGTATAATTACATAAATCGGCCGCTCATCGATCGCCACGTTCGATGCAAGAAAACGTACGCGCAGTTCATCATCGAAGATTCCCGGTCGCCTGTATTTCAGCGCGTTTTTCCGCGACGGGACCTGCCGCCAACACCCCGGCAGCACCTCTCCGCAACCTAACTTCATTACGTTAATGGCATAATAACCATTGCGGGCGGCCCGAAGAGCTTATGCGCCGGAACGTCGATGTCCCTAAACACAGCAAGAAGCGAGCGCGCAGTAAAATCGATCCGATCTCCATTAATATGTATGAGGTCTTCGCCAATGGACGCGGGCTGGGTTGAAGGGGGTGGCTGGGGAGGGAACGAGACTGGGGATTCGTACTCTTCTTGCCATCCTCCTACCCTCTCCCCCGCGTCACCATCTCGAACGCCGAACTGCAGGCGATCGCGAAATGCTCTCGGAAACTGTCGTAATTGCTTAGGAACTCGAGGACGAACGGATTCTTCGGGATCTACACCGCGATGAAATGGGGCGGGGGAGGAGAGAGAGAGAGAGGATCTTGCATATAGAGTGAACTCGGCAAACTCGATTTAATTGCGATCCCTTATACAATTACGTTATGGTCGCGAGCGTTAGCGTTGCCCGATTGCACAATGAAAACGCGTACATCCCGAGTCGCGGCTTAAGATATATCGCACTTAGAAATTCACATTAGCTCTTATTTGCATATTTATCGAAGACATATTGTACGGCTGTGTACGTCAGTACTGAAGGATCATCGCGAGATGAGGAAGTTATTCGTCGCCGTCGGTAATGCAAGGTAGACATTAAAGACGAGCGCAAAGTGCGTCGTTAAATTATATTTAGCTTTCTTGTGTCACTTTGATATCGTAAACACATCCCGGCTATTATCCGCCAGGCTTTATATTGCGGCGCGGGAATATTCATCGTATTTCCCTGTATATTTATGATCCGTTACGCATCCTAGACGGTCCGGCTACAAATATACATGCGAAGCGACGTGAAGATCCGCGTGGCTATACCAGGCTATTACCAGGAGCAACGACATTTCGTCATTACGTCATTTTATTCCCGTCTTGTTCGACAGGGAAATGTCTTTTTTACTACACACCAAGAGAGGCAATAAACGTAGTTACAACTTACCCAGTTGCAACGATTTACATCTCGGCTTACTCCGCTATGCTATTACTCACATCGCTAACAGGTATTCACCCACACAGGTATTCACACACATATTGGATCCGCGTTACGAATATCGATGACGACAGTATTTGCCAGCGCAATACGACGTACCGTGTGTATTCCTGATGCATTCCGAGTGCGCGTGTAATTCGCGCCGTGAAATATACGATCGCGATTACGGGAGACCCAACTACACGCTAATCCGATTATATTTAGCCTTCTTATGCCGTTCTAATATCGTAAACATGGCTGCTGGCTCCTGGCACTAAATTCACCTGTACGTTTCTCTTCATGTCTCGCGATAACGCCGTTCGTCCAAAAGAAGGTTACGAGATTTTGCGTCGCATGATTATCAAATTTATTATATTACGTTTTCGCTGTGCGATATGTGCATTGAGTGGATGATATCACCGGGTGAACGTGGATCTCGGTCGCATGTCGTGAATGCAACATCGAGAGTTCTCTTAGTCATCTCCTGGCACAAACCGAATTACCGTCGCGAAGTAGTACAATCTCGTGTATACGATCGTTTTGGCATAGCGCACACTTGAGTATCGTTCGTGTCACGTCGTGTTATGTTATGCTAGGTTTGCACGTTGTGACCGCATCAGTATTCCTTTCATAAACGCCTGTTTAACTACATAGCAATTTAAAGATAAGGTAAATTAATATAAATCATATTAAATCAGATCTAGCGATGCTAAATGAAAATTTATGATATACGATTAATTATGCCCAAAGTCTGTTTTTATTCATATATCAGATTGCATTAAACTTTTTTTGCTAAAATCAGACATACACATGGAAAGAACTGTTTTGTTAAATATCTAAAAATTTAGCTGGATGTATAGATCTGAAAATAATTTTGTTCAACTATCAAAATAATTATGTAGAATCC